TTTTTTTTTTTTTTTTTTTTTTTTTTTTTTTTTTTTGAGGCAGGGTCTGGCTGTATAGTTCAGGCTGGCCTCAAACAGCGACCCTCCTGCTTCAGCCTCCCAAGTGCTGGGATTACAGGCGTGCACTGCCATACCTAGCTACACTATTTCTTTAAACCAGAATTCCCCCTCTTCCCTCCATGCAAGAGAAACCGGGCCATCTCAGGCTGTCCTGTAAAGAGTCTTGGACTTCTTCGTCCCTCCTGGCGCCCTCTGTCATTCCTTCAGTGCGTTCATTCCACAGACGCTATGGAGAACACACTGCACATGTGGGTGCTGGGGGCACAGCCGAGACCTGCGGCCATGCCATCATCACCTTCTTCCTTTCTACCCGGATCCCTGACTTCATGACTCCAACTTTCACGCCTGGCCTCACAGCCAGGGATACCTGCCCAGACACATCCTGCATCCGACCCACTCCAGGCCCCAGGCCCCTACCTTGGTGAGACCCATTTGTCAAGAAGACTTGGACTTGGACCAACGTAGGACGCTTCCCAACCCTCCCAGTCCTTTCCAGCTGTCATTCCTTCGGGCTAGTGATCAGCGACATAACTAAGGCTGCGTTTATGAAGTATTTTTACAGTGCAAGTCCCACAGTGCATGACACTCACTGCTCGCAGGAAAATGCTGGCTTCGACAACCAACAGTGACGTCTGGAAAGCGCCGAGCCGGCTAATGCTTACCAGTCTTTTGGGCCATTTTTTAAAATTGCATCTTGGGACTGAGTGACGCAGATTAACAAGGGAAAGGAAGAATACCGGGCTTGCTTTAGCTCTCGAGATCATTCAAGATTTTCACCACCAGCGCCCTAAAAAAGGCAGAGTGCTTAAGGTAAATTGCCAGGTTTTGTCTTTCTGGAAAATCCATTAATACTGAATGATCTTGGTCTTGACCCACTCTAAACTAAACTAAAAGAGAATCGAAGGGCAGGATTCAGATTCCCGTGCTCTCCCCTACCCCTAAAAACCCTTTAGAAAGTAGATTCCAAATCAGTACCCCCACCCCATGCTGAGGATTGAACCCAGGGCCTCTGCTACATCCTCAGCTCCCCTCCCCAATTTCTTCCTGAGACAGGGCGTCCCTAAGTGGCTAAGTGGGCCAAGCTGGGCTCCAACATAGGATCCTCCTGACTCAGCCTCTCAGAGGGATTACAAATTTATACCACTACACAGGGCTCCCCTTTTGGTTCTTGAATATCCCACTCCAAGGCTGTCCTGTCTCTTCTT